CACTCTCACACACACACACTCTCACACACACTCACTCACTCACTCACTCACTCACACACACACTCTTACAAACTCACTCACACACACACTCACTCACTCTCTCACACACACACACACACTCACACACACACACACACACACTAAATGCTATGTTCAAGTGTGAGACTTCAGCTAAATCATTTTCTCTCTCTGTCTCTCTAAAGGAAAGGAGTGATGCTGGTAAGTAATGACACAATACATCACTTCAGAATGGCTGCATTGTTCAGTTCAGTATTTTACATGTACACTACAGACATGTACAGTAAAGTATGACGTTAAAGTGGGGACATTCAAGGAAGTATTTTGTGTCAAAACAGACTCGGTCTACTTTTTTAAAATTACATGTTCCTGGTCTTATTCTGAACAAACTTTCGACATTGACACAGCTTTATGTTTGGCTTACTGATGTTATCACGTCATCTTGGTCTCTAAAGACCACCACTCCAAAGAGAGTAAAGGCAGCTGTATTTGTATATGTACAGACAGTATGAGAAAATAATCAGCTCATAAACTCTCACTGTACTGAAGCAATTGCAACAGCGTATCTTTTTTCTAACAAAAGACTAAGCAGTACTATTATCGACACTATTGGGTGAAAACAAACCTTGTACTGAAAGATGATATTGTTGTCTTCTGTAGAGCTGCTTTATAGAATTAGTTCATAAATGACAAATATTGCAACATTACCCCTGGCATTGAGCTGAACTGAATCAACATTAAACTGACTCCAGCAACACTTTTGTTTTCCTGTTTATAACTGTGAAGATGCTTTGAAACTAACTGTATTGTATAAAGCGCTATAGAAACCACTATTAGACTTCTGCTAGATGAACCCCAGATTAGTAGTCCAGTAACTCTTTATTCCTTGTTTTAGACTGCTGTTGAATGTGATGCAGCTTTCTGAAATCATGCTAGTTAGTGCAGTAATAATACATATATTTAAAAAATCCCACATCTAGTGAGTCAGACATGTTGTCCTCGATCACAAGCTGAGACCTGTCTTCTTTGTTTTGGCATGTTTGACTGAGAAGAGCGCCGGCTGCCTGCGCTGAGACTCTCCACGCTGCACTTGCAGGACCTGTGTGTCCGTGTGCGGCTCTCTGTCCGACCTCTGTGTGCGTACTACATCACAGCTGATCCTATCAGTCATTACAGCAGTCCAGATATGATTACTGACATCAGTGTCTCTGTCCTGTGTTTGCAGTGGCAAATGAAACCCTGAAGATTGAGTCGAGCGACTCTGAAACGGGTGACTCCGACACGCTGCTCATGTGGATCCAGAGCAACACTGTTAGGGTACGTCTGTGGCCGACTCCCCTTTCTTCATGTGATTTAGTTTGAGTTCGAGCAAAGCTATTTTTGCTTCAGTTTCAGTCTTTAGGTTCTTACTTCACATCAAGTCTCAGCCCAACACTTTTGCTTATTTATCATCATTTGTTTGCAAGCTGATTTGCTTCACAGCACACTAACCATATTTATGGAGTCTGGCTTGCGTTTGATTTTACATTTGTGTGGTTTTGTTAATGTTTTTCAAGGCTGAATGAATGTCTCTCTCCACCAAGTGAAGATCTGCGGGAAACACAGTTGCCACCGATCATATGAAAGTGTTTTTTCTTCCTCGTTGATAAACCTGTTCATTGTGCTGTCCTAAATGCATATTTATATATTATTTGCATGCTGTTAGTTGAGAACCACTGGACTAGTAAATGCAAAAGATCATTTAATCTGAATGTGTTTTATTGGTTTACAGAAATGACTAGTGATGCATTGAAGCGCACTTCAGGATAGTTCACACTGATAGTGAGAAAGTCAGAAGTAATTGCATCCTGCTGAATGAGGCGTTGTTGGCGTATGTGATCTTTACTGTCTGCAGTGACATTGGTAAAGCTCACTAACTTTACTTTTTTTATGCAACGTATGAGTATAGATTTGATCATCAGCTAGGCATGCAAGCGCTGTATAGTGTCGACTGCCTGTGTTTGCACCGGAGGTCAAATGGAGTGTACTTTGAAAGGCTAGAGTGTACAACAATACACAGACACACTAGTATTCCTGTAAAACCCTTGCCACTTATGTGCACATTTTTCTTCTGAAGTTGAATTCGGCCGTCAGCTGCTCTGCTCTCTGTCAGTGTGAACTCTTCTTTAAGCTGAACTGGATCTGTGGCATTATAGTGATGATGATGTATTTTCTTCTTTACCAGTGGATCAGCCGTAGTAGTGGTCAGCCTCACACAGCTAAAATCCAGATGCATGATCTGACATCCCATCAGGCCTTTGTGAGTGATTGCTTGAATAACCCTTAAGTGTGAAGTGTGTTTGCAGTGGTTTTAGCTGTGTTTGTCTGTGGCCCTCCAGTGGACAGTGCGGTATGACTGTTTCCCAGCCCAGCCTGGATCCACCGTCAGCGTGTCTGTTCACATTCACAGTCATGAGCTCATCAGTGCATATTATGTCGTAGAGCACACAGGTCTGTCTCTCTCTGTACTACTGTCATAATGTCAGAACACCGCAGTGTAGCTGCATTCACATTCACTGTTTCCTATGTGTGTTTCTGATCCTGTCGTTAAAGATCCAGTGCCCAAAGCCAGTGTTACTGTGGATGAGCATGCTAAACGCTTCACTGTACGAATGCAAACAGACCAAAGAGTGAGGATGAGCCTGTGCTATAAACACTCACATGCAGAATGTTCTGAAATAATCCATTTACATGAGGTGAGTGAAATATCTTACCTTATGTAAGATCTAAATTTTTGGAAATGAAAACTTCATAGTAAAAGAGAAACTCATTCTCATTGAAGTGAAAATAAAACCATGTTAATATGCTAATTGGATCACTGTATAATTTTTTTTTATTGCATAAGAAGTATTTATACATCAGGCAAGAACTCATTGTGTTCATTTATGCTTTTTTAAATAAAATAAAAATATATATATTTCTCCTTGTGAAAATGTACTGTACAGTTTCACACTGCATACACAGTGTTTCCGTAGATTAATATACGATTTATCAAATGGCCTTATGTACTTTAAAAAGAAGCTGTGGCCATCATAAAGTGTTTAAATCTTCACTGAGCCGTTGAGGTGTTGTGTTTGTGTTGCAGACTGACTCGACCGTTAATCTGAGCTTCCCTTACCTGGTACCTTGTGTCTGTGTGCAGGTGTGCTGCTCTTCTCACACTCACTCACTCACATACTCACTCACACTCACACACACTCACTCACTCACATACTCACTCACAAACACACACTCGCTCTCTCTCTCTCTCTCTCACACAGACAGACAGAAAGACACGCACGCACGCACACACAGACAGACAAACACTCTCTCACTCACACACACTCACTCACTCACACACACTCGCTCTCTCTCTCTCTCTCACACAGACAGACAGAAAGACACGCACGCACGCACACACAGACAGACAAACACTCTCTCACTCACACACACTCACACACACTCGCTCTCTCTCTCTCTCTCACAGACAGACAGAAAGACACGCACGCACGCACACACAGACAGACAAACACTCACTCACTCACTCACACACTCACTCACTCACTCACTCACACACACTCACACACACTCTCTCTCTCTCTCACACTCACTCACTCACATACTCACTCACACTCACACACACTCACTCACTCACTCACAAACACA